AAGGTTTCTTTGTCTCTATGGCCACCTGATTATTTTAAAGGAAGTTTTAATTCCATCTTGGGTTGCTAAGAGGACAAAAAAAAAAAAAAAAAAACAAGAGTTGCTTCTAATTTTTTTTTTTCTGTTAATGACGTGAGGAAATTTCTTCCAAAGAGGAATGTAGAAGCTCGTATGTTATTGATACCTTTAAGCTGAAACTTCCTATTTTCATACTTCATTTGATCTTAGCAGATGTTCATTGCACTTGCTTCACTACTTTATTGTTTAAAGGCCATGATAAACTTTTTATGTTTAAGAGTAGATGGTTCAGTACTGTGCTTTATAAATTGCTAAAGCATTTTAGGCAAAGCATTATGACTGCTTGCGTGATATGTTATTTAGTGAGTATATCTTATATCTTGGCTGACTGAATCTACATAGAGTAAATTACCTTGGGTTCATTTTCCTTGGTTCTCTGCAAATGCTTCTTTACATTTATAGATATTAAAATAAGATAAAAAAGTAAGCTTTTAAAATTAAATGAGTGTAAGGTAAATAGAATTTCTGAAGCGACTCTAATGGATTTTCATGCAATGCTGTTTATCTTAATGGCAGCGGAAGGGAAAATTTTGTGTCTGGTGTTTTCAGAGTGTTGGACAAGTCCATTTCCTCCTTAACTGTTCTAGACACCTGATGGCAGTTCAGATGGATGCCCTTGTTTTCCTATCAGTGCAGAAGCAGTACTTGAAGGTATGCTGTTTCTGCTTGAAATGAGGAATAAGGGAAAGGGATCCCGTGGCTTTTGAAAATCTTATCAATCCATCGAGATTCAAATGCTGCCCTCTTAATTCCATCTCAGTGCAATGCTAATCCTGACTCTCAGGTGTTTGGATAAGCAGTTTCTCCGTGTAGACCCTGTTTTGTCATGAACTGATTTCAGATCTTGTTCCTAATTCGGATGCGTCTTTGGATGTTACAGTTTATCCTGAAAAGTTTGATTGACTTTATGCTCCTTATCGTTTGCAAGTGGCTGGGCCTCAGTTGCACAGTGCATTTCCAAGTCCACTTGACTAGCTTTAAGCCTGGCTTCTTTTTTTTTAGTGTCTGTGTGAGCTCATCAGGAGCCCTGGAAGAAACAATTCTTAGGAGAATATATTTGAGGGATAGTTGTAAAAGCCTTTGAAATCCTTCAGAATGAAAGGATGTATTTTGGATTAAGGTCCAGTATAAAGAATATCAGCGTCACTGTTAATAATATTATCAACGGTGTGTGTGTTCAAAAGATGTGAAGTTCTGCTCTTCTACTTTGGAATTGGCACTTCTGTTTGAAAGCACAGCATGTTGTCAACTACAGATCCCGTATCAGGAAGTGAGGTGCAAATATTGAGATAAGTATGGAAACACTAAAAAAAAAAAAAAAAGCCTTTCAGTTGAGTTCGCCAGTTCTCTAGAGGGACAGTGCTGGGTAGAGAAGCTGTTTACCTGAACCATCTGCCTCAGTCTGAATCTGTTAGCATCTTACAAATCTTCCCTTCAGTTTAGCCCAACGACTGCTGTTACTGTTGTTTCTGTGCTGGAATTGAGCAAGTGTGCTAGTTGGTGCTAGCTACTGTATGGACATATGCTGGGAAAGGAAGAGAAGGAAGTTTTTAATAAAGTTGAATAAAATTGGTAAAGCTACTGATTTTATTTTCTCACCTTGCTTTTTGTTTATTCAGTTCAAAAGGATCTTGTATTTGAAAATAAGAATATTTTTTTTCTGCAGATATTATGGCGTTAGTCCTAGAAACACCAACACTACGCATGTGTGTGCGCATGTTTATGTTTGTACAAATGTGGACAAGGTCCTTGATTTCAAGGTTCATGAAGTAAAGAATTGGCACAAATATCCCCATGTTCTTCACTTAGGCTTATGGGTCACCACCATTTATTGTTTAAATTACTTTGCTGATGGATTGAGATGAAAATGTTTTCTTAGTGAAGGCAGATATTGTAGTTCAGATTTATTGCGACATTAGAGCTTTAAAAAAAGCATATGCCCTGTGTGGTATATTACATTAGCTGGCTACTCTATCACTTGAAAGCACTTCATAATCTATAGTTTCTAAATTTTCCCATGATGTGCAGTTGAGATAAAATGCAGTAATATTGATGTGATATCCTGAACTTACGATTGGTGTACTGCATCAGAAGTAATGTGACCTGTTCAAAGTAAGGGAATGTAAACAACACATGTTTATCTGTAGTATTCACATTGATTTTTGTGTTTTTATTTTTAAGGAAAACATTCATGTTAGTCCAAAGTAAGGAAACTGTGGGACCTAGGGAAAGCAGCAGGACAGCAGACAGTGGGAGAAAAGTGGAGCTAACGTTTAGTTTTTGTAAAAAGGGTATTTAGATGTTCCTCTCAGCTGAATTTTCCATGTTCTCTCCTGTGTTGGTTTAGATGACTTATCACAGACCCATTTCTGTTCTGTGTATGAGAACCCAGCCAGAGACTTTCCATACATCTCAGCCTGCACAGTTTGGCCATTCTCTTTTTATCCTAATTCTGTTGTTTTGTCACAGATAAGAGGGATGGAAGAATTCAGTGCTCTTCTTGCAAGAGTTCTGTAGTGATGTTTATTTTGGCTTGGTGGATAGTGGAAGTGCTTCTGTGGTTAAAAGTATGAGTTTGGATTTTGGAGAAACAGACTCTAGTTTACTTCTTGACTCTTGCTTTGTGTCCATTTGCTTGATCAGTGAAGTAGGGTTACATCAACTTCTTGTGACACACAGTGTGTTTCTGTGAAGAGTGACCTGTAAGTTTGATGCTTCAAAGAACCTTCAGCACCTGCAACTGCCAACATGAAAGGATATAAGACCAAAAATTAGAAATGAATTTTCTATAATATTTCTTCTCTGTGATCAGAAGGACAATTTTTTTTCACTTGTGGCTGAGGCTTATTTATTTATTTATGTATTTATTTTAGACTTTTTCAAGAGGTCCATCCCCTTTAAATGTTAGTTCTAAGGTTCCTTCAGTGTCACTGGGGAGGAATAGACTACCTGCTTTTGGGGCATTATGCTAAGATTTAAGGTATGTCGATATGGGGAAGTTACTGGCAGTATGGGAGTTGAGGAAGTAGTAATCAGTTGTAAGTAACTCTTGGCTTAGCTGTCCTTATCCTCAAATGATTCCGGAATTGAACTTATAATAAAAACATCCATTTGTTTGGAAGACATAAAGAAAAGAAAACTCTAAAGCTGCCTGAAGTGTTTGTCTTTAGATTTTAGTTTACATATTATGCTATTTTTGAATGTACAGCATTGGATCATTTAGCACTAGGAAATCACGGCCAGACTGGAAAGGCATTTCTACCATATAGGTGTTACTGGGAGATGCTATAAAAACCTTTTACCACGCATTTAACATAGAAAGGCCTGAGGGGTTTTTTTCCCTTCTTTTCTCGCATGACAAATGTCACGAAGATTTCTCTTTCTTAAATAAAATTAACTTGTAGGAGCAGATTTTTATTTTCGTATAAGTTGTCTCAACTTACATTGAGATTCTTTAGATACATGCCTGGGATCTTAAAACATGATCTTAAAACTGTATGAAATACAGTTAAACCAATAAGTTTGTCATGTGACTGCCGTTATATCTTTGTAAGTGTTCCTCAATACTGATAGAAGTATTAGTCTGTAAGGAGTGGGATAAATGCCAACATATGGCACCCTTACAGTGATATACTGGAGAGATAAATGCTATTAACTGTACAAAAAACTTCGCCATGAGTGATGTCCTGCCTAAAGAAGCACGTGTGATCCATCGTTCTGGCCTCTTGCAGCAGTGACCTCAGGCTCATCCTTTGAGGTCCTGAGCATCTCCCCCAAAGGGAGCTTTCTGCACACCCCCTGCTCAGTGTGTACACCACTAGGGAAGCTCTGGGATGATGATGTTCCTTTCCCTGATGCTGGAGTCTGACTCATCTGTAGCTCTCCTTGGCCACGTTCACAGTAAGCTCCATAAAGTGATGAGCAGGATTTTTCTAAAGAGCCTTTATGCTTTTCACAGGAATGGCTGTGTGACTGTATGCTAATTGGTGTCCTTTGTTGGGAATCTGGTGTGCCTTTTGCCACCAAATCTGTTTTAGTACAGCTTCTGCATCTTTGACAGTCAAAATGAAGGTTTCATCTTCTTTACAATCTGTTTTTCTGACTGATACAGAGCAGACTGTGTGGCGTGTTTGTATTTAATATTTTTTGCAGTTTAAAGCCTGAGTCATTGAAGGCCAAGTTTGCTGCGTGCATCATGCTCTTATACACACAATGGCTGACACAAGTCCCACCTCACCTCTCCGCTACTGCTGGATCGTGGACAGCAAAAGATGGCACTGGATTCTTGCTGGTTGCTAGGGAAAACTTTTTATTCCTAGGTAGCTAAGGTGAGCTCGGGCTGAGCTGTAGCAGTGCAATTACTGCCCATGTCTAGGCTATGCGGAGTAGATTTAGCGTCTCCATCTAGTTCTCAGCAGACAGGAGGCTGTTGTGAACAGCCTGCTATGGTGTTCACAGCACAGACTATGGGTTGGCCATGAGATGAATCCTGCCCTCCAAGACAAAATTAAAGCGTGCAGTTGGCGATTATAAACTCTCTTGTATTGCTTTTATGGATGCCTCAGGTCAAACTTGCCAGTCTAGCTCTTCTAACCAGAGTAAATTCTGTAAATGTGTTTTGCTTTACCACCTGTCACTGTCCAGTTTCAGTGTAGCAGAATCCTAACCATAATTCCTAAAAGTCTTGAAAATGCCTGTGTGTGCAAGGAAAAAGCAAATTATGCATGAAATGTGTAGTGTTGCTGTGTTTGAACAATGCAATCTGTAGGTGGCTAAAGGGCTAACTAAATTGCAGGCGTAATGAAAGCTCTGTGGTATTTAGTATATGTTCTGTCAGCATTAAACAGTCACCTTGTAAATATATGTTAATTCTGAAGGTGTAACTGACCTTTTTAATATTAATTGAAATGTCTCATGTTTAGAGGTTGGAGCTATCCTAGAAGAGACAGAAGCCTGTGACTGGTGGAGCCTGGGTGCCATTCTTTTTGAACTGCTCACAGGGAAGGTAGGGGACAAGCTGCATTATAAAACAGGCATGCTGGCCAATAGTTTCTCACAAGTGGTTTGCCCAGTTTTGATTTTCTTCTTTCTTGTACGCAGATGTATGTCTTTGTATAGCAGAGTATCCTTGATCTGCTATGTCTTCATGGCCAGAGAAATTAAGCATGCTCAAGCTTCAGAATAACTTCATAAAGTTGCATCAAGTTCAGGACTGAAAAAATAGCCAAAACCAATGCTGTTCTCTCAACCACAGTAAAATCGAAGCTCTCTGATATCCCTCCTGAACATTTAATACTTTTTTTGCCCTGACAGATATCTTTGTTTCAGCACTATTCTCTGGGATAGTCTAAATGTTGTGTGTTGCAGTGACATATTAATTCAAGCCTGAGCAGACTCTCTTGATGGATTGCCTGCACTGGGAGGTCTCACACTGGTGTGGTAATGCAAAATTATCTTACACTGAGACAGGAAGATACCAGCACCTCTAAAGAATGCTGATTTCAGTATGTGAAGACAGGGTGCTCAGCCAAATTGAAAAATAGTGGCTATTTGGCAGTTCCATGTGAAGAAAGCGAAGTTCACCAAACTCCAAAACTTTTCAAGTTTGAGCAATAGAGCAAGAGCATTATGATGTAAATGTTCTAATGGCAAATCTCTAGGGGTACTTCAGTATCTGTAGTGGTTCCCTTCAGAACCAATATTTCAAACTAGGAAGCACTGGCATTTTAGCCGTGTGTGTTAATTGACATGTATACTAGAAGATAATCCAGCACTACATTTTTTTGAGTTAATAAATGTATCTGACTTTTTTTCCAGACCCTGGTCGAGTGCCATCCATCAGGAATAAACACTCATACTTCTTTAAGTATACCAGACCATGTATCAAAGGAAGCCAGGTCGCTGATTCAGCAGGTGACTGTGGGGGAAAAATTATTTTCTATGGGTACATGTGCAGTCTAGATGAATACTTATATACCTGAGCTGTTCCTGTGGAAATTACTGTAAAAAGAAAAAGCTGCTGATAGGAATGTGGATGGGTCTTTTGTCAGCAACTGATGATTTTTGCCTGACTGGTTTATTGCATCTGGAAACTTGACTTCTGCTTCCTGGTGCTTCACAGAAGCATAAAAACAGAGTGCTCTGCTGTTTCTCCAAAGAACAAGTTTGGTCAATATTGGGTGCTTTGGCAACACCTATTGGTGATATGTGGCCATTTTAGGAATTCTGTCCTAGCTGTTATTGGAAATGTTTGTGATGAAGTGAATTAAACTCGAAAATATTGAAGCCGATCAACAAGATGGCTCAAAGTGCCATGAAACTCGTAAGGCAATGATTTGAAGTGTCAACCACTTGTTGAAAATCGAGTTGAAAATTTGCTGTGCTTCAGGAAATCCTGGGTGAAGGACTTCCAAATGTGAATAGTCTGACTTCTTTAAGAGGAAGATAACTCTTAGGTTAGGCAAAAAGCTAAATGGGAAATTTTAAAATACAGACAAACTTCCAGAGTGCTATACCACATATTTTCAAACTAATTAGATTTAAGTTGTCACAACTGAGGAAAATAAATAACTTGTCTGTGTAGAGTCTTGAATTTCAGGTAACACTGTCTTCCTCCCTGTAGTTAATTTTGACCTATCTGTGCAAATGGGGCCTGGATCAGACCTATTCCATTTGAGCTGAATAAATAATAGGCGTAAGCTGTGGTGTTCAGCTTTGAGTGGAGAGTATCTGGCTAGTGAATATGTACAAAATGACATCTCTTAGATGAAGATCTGAACGGAAGTAAATAGTTTCTGAAGAAAATGAAGGAAGAACTTTTTGAATATTCAGCAAGTCAAAAGCCCTAGTGACTGATTTCTGCACTGTTAGTGTTGAATGATGAGTGGACAGGCAACCCGAAGTTTGAACCTCCAGATCTGAAAGCGCTTTCACATGCATTTCTGTGTTTTTGGCAAGGATAGGAAGGGGAGTGATGAAAGAAAAATCCCATTTTTGTTGAACCTGCATTTATTTTGTTAGATGGTGGCAAACTTTTGCCCTCACCTACAAGTGCAACGTGACCTAAATGGATAAAGAAAAGCAATACCAGCTCAATGAAGGGAATTCTTCCCTTCTAATACTGAAAATGAAGACAAACAAAGTCATCCAGTTCACTTTTCCCTGCCAATACATGGAGACTGTGCAGACTAATGTGTTGCCTGCTTTCATATATGCCAAAGAGTGGCTTTTTTGCCACTTGGAATGTAAGTGGAAGAGATACATCTGTCACTTTCAGATATATTGCAAGACCGTAATCTGTTCAGAGGACAGTCACCCTAGTGCCTGTTAGGTTAAGCCTTCTGATGCAGGCTGGTGACGTGTCAGGTGGAGGTTCAGCTCTATGAGCTAGTAAATCACATTTTTGTTGTGTGACTATCCAAGGAAGCTGCCATTCATTTGTTGAGGAAGCCTTGTCAGGAAAAGGAAGAAAGCTCTCTTGGCATGGATAGCAATTTGTCACTGTGACTTTCCTTCCCTATACTGCCAAGGTCAAAGCATCACAGAATAACTCTCTGGGCTCAGTGTTCAGCTACACAGAGTTACAGTTCAGCAGAAGGCAGAGGGACAGTGGCAGCTTGTGCTGTCTTGTGGAAGATCTCAGAGCAGCACCATTCACTGTCACCAAGTTACCTTTACTATGTGACATTACAATTGCAAATAGCAAAGCTATCTTAGAATGTGTAAATTCATGTGTTTATTGAAGTAGACTCACTTAGATGTTGAGTGCATTAAGATATGAGTACATGTTGTTCCAGGAGACAACTGGGAGAAGTTATCCTATTAGCTATTGCAGAAAGAGCAAGAAAGAAATCGTGCCTTTGTACTGAGTGTAATTGAATAGAGGATAAACAATTCTCTGGAAGTGCAAAATATTTTTGTGTGTCTTTATTAATATCTTCAGAGTGTTACCTTTGCATTCCCTTTTATGTGGATTGATATCTTTAAACAGATGTAAATATTGTGATTTCCTTTGCACATGAATTCAGCATGTGATGTACGACTAGAAAGGGAATGAGGTGCTGAATCTCAGGAAATTTCCATGGAGCCCTTATGCTGTTGTTTTGTTTGTTTTGTTTTCTTTTTTAACCGCTGGGATTTTGATTATTCAATCTTAATGCATTTGTAGAACTCTTCAAAACTTTTTTTTTTTTTTTTTAATTTAAAGAAACAGAGACCTGACTGCCATATTTTAGGAACAACTGTCAACTCATGAAATGGAAAGTTACAGACCAGCGTCCCTGATGTAGCCTTATTGCAGTGGTGTGAGCAAAGGTTAACATGAAGCAAATGCAGTGGCCAGAGTTCTACAGATGTAGGCTCTGGCTGCTGTTCTCTTTTTGAAAACGAGGTTATGCTTAAAATGAAGTCCCAGTGTACAGTGCTTCAGGGTATTGCATGCTGTGATCAGTACTCTCTGAAGACTGTATCACTGAGACTCAAGGAAAAGAGAGTCTTCCATTTACTGCATTTTAGGAATTTCAAGTATGCTTCACACTCTTGAAAGTAACTCAAAGAGCAGGAAAACGGTGGGATATCCTTTACCTTAGACCTTTACCGAACTTTTAAGCTGTTGTTTTTGTTCTTACTCACTGAATCATATATATATATATATATATATTTTTTTTTTTTATATCAAGCTTTTGCAGTTTAATCCTGCGGAGCGTCTTGGTGCTGGCGTTGCTGGTGTTGAAGACATCAAATCCCATCCATTTTTTGCCCTCATAGAATGGGCAGATCTGGTGAAATGAGAGATGCGCTCGCCCTCGGAACAAACTCAGGTCAAGTGGACAATTTTCTCTGGCACAGAACAACACCAACTTTCTTCCTTCGGGTGTCCCAAATCCTTGGACATTCTAACTGAAGGACGCTGGACCAATCATGCCAAAAGCAAACACTTTTAACAGGACTCACCATTGTGCAGGGTGCTAGCTTGTTTTTACGGCAACTGGCTGCTATGTGTGTGTAAGTCTTTTCACCAAAGGGTGATTTGTGATGAAACTGCTGCCTAGCATGCTTCACGCTGCCAGACTGTCAACGAAGTGACAGTGCCCTCCTGGTGCTTTGTCTGGTGATGGAAGCGTCTGTAGAGTGTGCCAGTTGAAAATATCTTTTATACTGTATGTCAGTAGACCATTTCCCTATGCTAAGTGCAGCTGGAGGAGGGAGGGGAACAAATAATTTATTAATGGTATATGCTGAATGAAATACTAAAATGCTTTCTGCAAAACTTGACACATTAAAAATAGTATATCCATTAAAAAGTAAGAAAGCTGTTGCATAATACTGTGGAATGTGTCTTGAAAATGGCATATCACTTCAAACAGTGGAAAGAGCATATAAAAGGCAAATAATGCTGTCAAATGTTGTACTTTGTTGGCTGGCACTGTCTGTTTAAAACTCTTGACTCTGTTATATTTGATGAGCTACGTGTTAACGTCACTACAGAAAGGGAGACCTTTCCCTCAGCCAGATAAACACTGCTTTTGCAACTTGATAAGGAGCAAGAAGACACAGTGCTAAATAAATGTATAGATTACAAAAGGAAAAGCTCTTCTCTTCGTCATTGTAGCCACTACTTAGCACTTAATGAACTTTACTTCCTCTAAGTGTCCTATTTTTAACTATTTCTTCAGGAAAAACCCTTTCTTCTTGTTTTCTGCTTGAGGAAGCTTCTGAACTTTTTATTTGTTAATGATCTGAATAAATCAAAGAAAGCCTTCACCCACTCTGCTGCTCGAGCAGGAAGGAGCCTGGGCTTTGCTCGCACTGAGTGACTTGGTGTCATCTCTGAGCAAACCCTGGAGTGAGCCAGCTAGCTGACCTGTTTGCTTGTTGGTAAGGTCCAGAGAATGGGAGGAGGACACAATGGATGCAGAATATTGTGCTGTGTGCTGTGGTTGCTGCTAATCAGCCATGCTTGTACAGGTTCCCGATGTACAAACACTGCACACTGTAATGTTGTACAGATTATGGATCTGTGTTCTTTTCTAAATGTTCCCTTTGCTCTCTCTCTGTTGTTTGTTTTTTTTTTTTAAAAAAAAAACACCAAAACTTCTCCCCAGCTTTATCCGGAGAACAAAGACCAGACTCCTTTGGGAAAATGAGGTGACAGCAATGATTTTTGAATTGACTTTTTTGGGGGGGGGGAAGTTGTATCCTTCCATTTGTATTTTAGCAACGCGTTTTATGAGCATTCCCCAAAGTGCATCTGCACAGTCTCCATCTGTTAGACACCAGGTTGGTGTATTGAAATAAAGTGGAAAAGGAAAATGCTTCACTTAAACAAAGGAAATCTGGAAACTTTTTTTTTTCCTTTTAAAATTATTCCACTCCCCTCTTTTTTTGTTTCTTCCCTTTCTTGTGATCACCAGGCCAGCAGAGGGGCTGTAACAACACTGCAGGTTGTAACCAGGTCATTGGTATCACCGCCTACGGAGCACTGTCCAAGATTACATCACTCTCAGAAACTGTGCTTCAACCTACCACCCTCTGGCTTCATAACAGGAACTCCCTCAGGTGAGCCACAGGAACGACTTCCTGCGCCGACAGGGTAGGAAATCTCTAATGCAGAATCCGAGCTGATGCAGAGCTTCCTTCCAGTGCTGCCCCGGCTGTGACTCTGGAGGGCTCATTGCTCAGGGGAGGCCTCCATCCCTCTGCCACCTGCCTCCATCCCGGCAGCTCTGCCTGCTGGTACCACCTCGTCGTATTGTCGGTTCCATTTGCCTGTCCCACTGTGTTTGCCTGGCAATAACTGTTTTTTTTTAAAAAAAAAGTAAAGGGTTTTTCCGTGTTAACTTAAAACATTTTCTTGTTCAGATTGTGCCAGTGTTGGTTATAGGTGAAAGCAGTGTGAGCAAGCACAGCAGGACAAGCAGCAGAAGGAAAACGCTGCTCTAGCAGGAACCAAACGACCAGTGACTCTCACTGATTTGGTTTAAGTAATGACACAATGAAATATTTCTTTTTCAAGTGCAGCATTGAGTTATGAGGAAGTCTAGATGAGAAGGAACAGGACATTTGATAGGACAGTTTGCTGTAACTGCGCCTTTGCGATGCTGCTGTTATTCATAACTTTACCACAGCTTCAGATAATGATTTTGCTAAACAAAGCACAGTCTGGAGCTAATGGCACATGGAAAATCTTGGTTTTATATATAGATAGATAGGTGGTGGATTCTGTTTTTTTGTTGACATTTACATATTATATTTCCTTTGTACCTAATCGATGGCTTATATGACTTGGGAAAATATTCTGAGTTATCTTCTCTCTGGTGCTTGTTATGAGGCCCTGTGGTGCACATCTCTGTTTTGCTGACTGCTGAGGAGTGCAGCATCCATTCCACCTTCTGTTACACCTAACAGCTGATAGCAAAGTAAACCTGCCAGTTCGTTCACAAAAATTCCTGTGAGACGATGTCGTACAGTAAAATAGACATATAGATTTTCCTCATCTATTCAGGCAAAGCAGATGACGGGCTTTGGATGTCTGGAAGTGATAATTCCTTGCACCCCATTGAACCACTCCATTATGTTTTCGTCTCCTACTGAAAAAACCTCAAAGAGAAAATATATGAAGGCTCTGTGACCTTCTCTTTCTTTTTGGTTTTCTGTGACCTCCTCCTTTTTTCTGATCGCTCCGTCTCCAGCCTCTTGTTCACTGACCTTCTTTGACCTTCTAAGACCATCTTTTCTCTGACCTTTTCCTCTCCCCTCTGCTCCTGTCTTCACTTTTAAATCTCTTCCCTGCTCTTCTTGACTGTCTGCAGCCTGCTGTCACCTTTTTTTTGACCCTCCTTGACCTTCTCTGCTTTTCTTGGATCTTCTCTGACCTTCTCTTGTCTTCTTGGGCTGCTTCCTTCTCACCTTCTCTTCTTGATCTTCTCTCTGTCCTTCTCTGGTTGTCTGCTCGTCTCTGACCTTCTTTTTCCCTGTGTTGTCCAATGTTCTCTTCGCGGACTTCTGACAACCATGAGTATCTTTCCTTTGACCATCCCTTCTCCCATTTTCATTTTTAAACACCCTTATCTCTGCTCTGCTCATCTCTGCTCTGCTCTTTTGACAGACTCTGGCCTGCCTGCTTTGACATCCTCTGAGTGCTCATGGTCCCCTTTCCACCTTCTTTCCCCCTTCTTTGAGCTTTTTCAACATTCTTTGAGCTTCTCTTGATCTTTGACCTTTGGCATTGAGCTGAGTTGCTGCGAAGCACAGCAGAGCCCCCTCAAAACATGAGGGAGAAACTGCCTCTCATGAAATGTAGGGGATGTAACACTGTTTGCTTTATATGGCTGTATTCACAGCTTCTGTGCTTGTTGCCTAGCTCCTCTATCTCCTGTGAAAATCACCTCTCAGACAGCAGTTATTGTCATGCTGACTCCCCGCACCCCTTTGGGATGCTGAGTTGGCAGGGTTAGCTGCTCTGGAACATCGACTCGGCTCTTTTCTCCATTTCTAAACCTGTTCCTTGGTGCGTCCCCGCAGAGAAGGGCAGCGGGATGAAGAAGGCTGGGAGGTCAGCCTGCTCTAAATGAAGCACTCAGCATAACAACGCACAGGGAAGTGCGAAGTAAACCTCTGAGGGCTTTTTTTGAGTGTGGTGTCATTTGTTTTTTTCAAGGACACTAAGTAGGAAGCCGGAGAAACAGAAACTTCCTCTCTGGTGAGATTTATGGCAGTGATTTAAGCAATAAAATGAAAAAGTGCACTTGTTGATTTCTTGGCATCTCTGCTCTCCACATGGATTTTGCTGTGAGGTGAATGCAGCCCTTTCTGGGCCGTTGTTTGGGCCATGTCTTCCACCAAATGTGGGTGGGGGCCTGGTGCAGCTCTGCTGCAGAGGGAAGCTTTGGGGAGGAGGAACAGAGCCAGCTCCTGGAAGAGGAATGGTGCCTGCTCAAAGGGGCCGTGCAGCTGCTACTGGCTGCAGTGTCACACTGGCAGCACGAAGCCATCTCTTGCACTATTGGACCACCTGCAAGAGTGGAGCTGGGGAGCCCAGACCCAAATGTGGGGCATCCCCAAGAAAAGCCTCAATTCTGGTGGATGGAGGAAGTGGTGCATTTGGTCCAACCTGCTAGTGCTGTGCAGTGAAATCCCTTGCACTGCTGCTGTGGGCCAGAAGAAGCGAACCTAGGCACAGCAGAGAATTGTCCAGCCTTCCAGCAGCAGGCTATAGCTCCATGTGCTGCCACAATGGGACCTCGTGGCTTCTTGGCAGACTAGAAGCTCTCCTCCTCCAAAGGCAGCTCTGTCTCCATCTTCTTGGCCCAGGGACCTGTCAGGAGGGATTAGAGCTGCTGCCGGAAAGCTGTGGTGGCACCATGATGGGCAGGAGGGCTGGAGATGTGCACACTGCTGGGCAGCAGGGAATTGGCAACCTCTTGGGAAGGCTGCAGGCAGGTGCCTTGATGCTTTGCGAGATCCCAAGTTTGGCAAGTCTGGGAAACGTCCTTCTGGGGGCAATACAGTAGGCAAGCTGATTGGCAAGTGGCAAAGTGGAATAAAGATGGGCCAGCCAGGGAAGGAGCAGATGTTGATCAGCAGTCCTCTGCAAAGCCTTGCTAGCCTTGTTCTGCTCTGCCCTGGAGACAGCTGTTGTGCCTCAGTGTCATCTCACTGCAGGAGCTGTGTGGTGGCAAAGGACAAAGCCACAAACCAAAATAGGTTCAATGTAGCTGGACAAAAGGAGTGTCTGCTGGCTGCATTACCTGATGGCTCCTCCTGTGCTGCAGGGATGGAGGCTGAAGGGGCAGCTGGAGATAGTGGGAGGCATCCCTGGAGCCTCACTAGCATAATGTGAGGTGAAGAAGAATAAGCTCTGGTTTTATTCTGATCACTTGCTTAGTAGTTTTCCCCTCCCAGCTAAACTCCTCTGTGCCCTATTCTGCTGGTTTCTCACACCCCTGAGCCATTTATCTCTAGGGTATTGTCTAGATTTGCCCAGCTGCCTCTGTTCATCTCCTGCATTGTGTCCTTCAGCCTTGGCCACAGATTTTCTTGCTCTTTTTGTGCCTCTGCTTCTGATATGCTGTCCTAAAGTGCTGGGACCTGGGAGTGGATTATTAGATGCAGCTGTTATACCCATGTAACGATGAAAACAGAGAGGATTGCTCCCACAGAATGAAAGTGCTGGGCTTGTAAAAGGGCTAGGAAATAGCTTACCCCAGAAGCATCTGAGTAATGAAAGTTTTATAGTGCCCAGCACAGTGGTGGAACAGCAGAGAAGAAGCTTCCATGAGAGAGGACAGCGCTGCACTGTGATTTAGGGCCTTCTGCCGGCTGGCTGCACTCTGCCTGCGGTCCTGTTTGAGCACTGTGCTCTGACATTTGCATGCTCATAAGCTTCCTTTACGAACCAGGCATGGAGAAGATCAGGAGCCAAGTGGTGTATATCCTTTCTCCAGGCTTTTTTTAACCTTCTTCCCTACTGCTCTGCCTCCTTCATTTCCAGCCCCAGCCCTGGTTTGATCTCAAGAGAAGTCCTCTGAGCCCAGACCATGGTTCCTCAGAGTGGCCTGCAAGCCAAGCAAACGTGAGCTCTTCAATCC